AGAGAGCCCAGGACCAAAAACCTGGAAACATGGAGAACATAAGTTCCTCCAAGCACAACTCGAATCCCTTGGGATCGATTCAAGCTTTATGGGGTTCCTAGAAGACCCCATAGCTCATTACGTAGTATCAAAACTAGTAGACATTGCAACGAGCGAAAGGAGAGAAAAAGAACAATTAATAGAGGAGAGAGAGCACCTGGCTCGCTCCAAACAAGAAATGGAGAGTCAATTAACGACGGCTCTTGCGAAAAGACAAATCTCACCGCCAATGGGTGAGATCGATGAGCGTCGCGCAAAGAAAAGCCGCGAGGCAACACCCCGAAGGGAAATACTTCCCTTACCACAATCGAGACCTAGGTCTCAGCCACCACGGCAACACCAGCAACCTACGGCAGGCCCATCAATGACGAGAGTCACCTCGTCACATTCAGACACCACACCAAGGAGAGAACTACCTCTCCCATATAATGAGGTGTCAGCACCGCGAGGAATGGGACCCAAGGTCCCAAATGCAAGGAGGAATACAGCCACAAACCCTCCAAGAATTGAAGTCCATTGCACGGTCCCCCACAGCTACCCACGGGGAGAACAAAAATTGATCCAAGATCCAACACTGGAAGAGGATCAAACAACAGAAGAGAATCCCCTGGAAGAATCACAGCCAGGGGAATCAACAGATGAAGAAACATCCGAAGAAGAAGAACTGGAGCGCCTAAGCACTCCAGAAAAGGAGACGCCGAACCAAAAGCATCTAAGAGATCAGAAAAACACTATGCGCGAGGCGAAGCGAGCAAGGCTCGCTGAAGAAACAGCTCAGAAACGCGCGAGGCACAGAAACTCGCAACCAGGAAGAATCCCTGACGCCATAGGCGTCGTAAAAAACAATACCAATGGCCAGTATGAACGAAACAACTGGCTACGGGGATCATTAGATCCCGAATTCTATTACTCAACGGTAACCAACACCGTATATGTCGGGGAACAGGCCCAGGTAGCGGCCACCAGCGAGAGACTAAAGGTACCCTCACAACATATACCGACAACAGCGGTATACTACAAAGCACCCCGGGGGTTCCCAATGAACCCCCAACAAGTATTAGACATATACAAACTGATACGGGAGAGCCGAGCATCAGGCCACAAGCATACCGTGAATTTATCACGCAATGGGAACATGAAACCGGGGAGGAATTCATCCCCGTAAAAACCAAACCGAGCAACATAGTGCTCAAACGCATCCCCGCGGAACAATGTTCCGCGAATACAACACAAGATGACGTGGCGCGTCTATTAATTGAAAACAAAATACCACCAACATGGATAGACCACGCCTACACATTTGGTCTATACTACATAGACCATCATCTACGGATTGACTCGATGATCAACAACATATACATCGAAGCAGATGATGAACGGCTTCGTCGACTGGCAGAACATGGTCTGCCACCACCCATACGCGCTTGGGACGGATGGTACATCCTGAGTGAAGAAGATAAAATCTGTATCCGTTACATCATCATGGATGAAACAGACCACAAACACATATATAGTCTGGAGAGCGATGAATGGCTATTCGTCGGGGAGGAGGTACACCCTACATATCTTCGAATCCGCAGCACAGAACGCACTGCACACTTATACGACACAGAGCGGACCAGGATTGATGCTCTGAGGCATGCCGAGCAAACTGTTGGAGACAATTCACACAACTCACAAGTGGTACCAGAGGTGACTAACATCACGCAAGGGACGACTAACGTCGCACCGGGTACCACGGAAGGAGACATGAGGATGTCTGAAACAATGGAGGATGACCCCTCCAATGCCGGCCCATCAGGAAGTGCCCAACCAGAGGAAGCACCCTCTGGCACTGAAGGGGCACCTATCAGAACACTCAGTGACGAAGAAATGTAGAACCCGCAAGTCAAAGTCAAAGGTCAAAGTCAAAGGTCCTCAATTCGTCAACTTTGACTTTGACCTTTGACCTTTGACTTTGACTTTGACCTTTGACTTTGACCTTTGACTTTGACCTTTGACTTTGACTTTGACTTTGACTTTGACTTCAATGACATCATAGTCGATCTCACGCTCATAGATGTAATTAGACACACTGTAGACACATTGCTCGACCCTGAGCACTACTATATAGTCGTCAAACATGTACCTAGATCAACACGAAACAGTTAATGTTGTCGCTTTCGTAGTAGCGTGATAGGCAATCCGCTACTTTATTGAGTTCGCCTTTGATATATGTGATGTCGAGATTGAATCTCGACATATAGTCCATCCAGCGTCTTTGACGCGGGCTCAATTTTACTTGAGTTTTGAAAAACTCAAGTGCCTTGTGGTCGGTTATGATATGGACATCATATCCTATTAACTTGTCTTCCCATTTCTGGAGTGCTTCCAGGATTGCGAGTGTCTCTAACTCGTGCACAGCGTAGTTATGCTGGGCTGTGGTGAATTTCTTGGACATGAATCCCGCGGGGCGACATTATTGCCACGCAGGTCCTTGTCCGTACATTGCTCCGACGCCCGTGTTAGAGGCGTCGCAAATGAGCCATATTGGCTCCTCCTTGTCTGGTCGGATGGGTCGTATGATGGGTGTCTTTTCACAGACGCGCTTTATCATATCGAAGCATCGTTGGTGTATTGGGCGCCATAGGAACGCGGCGCCGTTCTGCATCATGGACATCAACGGTCCAGTATATGTCGTGATGTCGGGGAGGAAATTCCCCAAGTAGTTCACGAGTCCTACAAACCGTTGGACGTCGTTATAATTTCTGGGAATTCTCCACTCCCGGATCTTTCCTAGTTTATCTGAATCAGGGTGTATACCCTGGTCGTCGATTATATGACCCAGACAATCTACTTTGTCTGCGTATAATTCGCATTTCGTCCATTTGAGACAAAGAACATTTTTCTTTAGTCGTTCAAATATTACACGAAGATGTTCTTCGTGTTCTTCAATTGTATCTGAGTAGACAAATATATCGTCTAGATATACATGCATAAATTTCCCAATGACGTCTCTGAATATGGACATCATTAGTCTCTGAAATGTTGCGGGGGCGTTGCAGTCCCCTTGTTGCATGATTAGGCTTATGTATGTCCCCGTGATCGTTGCGAACGCGGTTTTGTCTATGTCTTTTAGGATAATGCGTACTTGTTCATATGCATCTGTCAGGTCTATTTTTGACCTGATTGTTCCTTTTGATACGTCCTCACATATCACTTCTTGGTCTGGTAAAGGGTTACGTCCTTTACCGTGTTCTCGTTCTGCTGTTGTGCATCCATGACAGTGCGTAGTCTGCCATCCCGCTTGGGGATGCATAACATTGGTGCAGCTTGGCTCACCAATTTCGGTTTCCACCATCCCGCGTCAATGTATCTGTTGACCTTTTCGTGGAACTCGTCTCGTAACGAGTTCGGACATCTTGGTAGGTGGTAGTGATACCGCTTGTTCTCATCAATCAGGTGAATCTCATGATTCACTTTGCGCCAAGGGGGAAGTTTATTTTTTACTCCTCCCATTATGTCCTGGTATTTGTCATACCAGTGTTGCCTGAGCCGAGGATAATCATCCTCGGTTAGGCCCTTTGTCGGCGTTTTCCCTTTGTCAGGTTTCTTGGGTTTGGGATTCGGCGGGTGCTCATACACCGGCTTTAATGAGGATTGTTTCCTCATCCAATCCTTGTTCTTTTTGTTGGGGTTATACGAGTTTGTGAACTCATATTTGTCTGATATTTCAGACAGTAGTGGGTCCCGGTATAGAGTCTCTATGACTCTTGTCTTGTCTTCTTCATATGAGCGCATGGCGCTCACCATCTCGTTCCATTCTTTGGGCATTCATGGGTCATGATCCCATTCGAATCGTTGCCTTGGGATAGGTCTGTCCCAGAATGGTCATTTCTTCTTGCTTGCGGTTGTTCCGCTTCTGCTTGGTGACTGGATTCTTCCAGTTGTTTTTCCTGTTCATCGATGATAAGGTCTTCGACCTTGTTTTTCAACGATGTTGGTTGGCTTTTTAATATGTCTGGCTCGACGTATGCCACTTTTTTCTTTTTCTTTTGGTGATTGATAGCAACATATTTTATATAGATTGTGTCAACGCAATACTCTCCAATGCGAGTTTGAAGCCCAACCCAGCCAAATTCAAGCTATCATTGATAAGGTCTGTTTGATTTTTGATGGCTCTGCCCACCGCGTGACTAACCTGAAATCCCCCACGTAGCGCAAGTCTAAGAAGGGCTCGAAACATTAGTTCATGGTGTGTATTTGCGCTGGCCTCATCAATTTGTAAATCTGTGGTTCTATTGAATATACATGACTTTCCTTGGGTTCTCGTCGACTTTTGCCTGACATTAGGATCACTACCATGAGACCACAATAGACTATCATGTAGCTTTGACCAGACGTTAATGTGACTTCCACTTGACTGTGCTCAACTAGGGTAGTACTTTCCACAAGCTGGGCCTAGTGAAATACATGATCCGATATGACTTCAGTTTAACCAAGCCATGACTATGCTATGACCATGTTGGGCAGAGTCTATGACTGTGATATGACATTGACCAGACTAAAATTAGCACCCGGACGTAATTTCGGCTTACCATAGCCTGACTAGGTATTGACTTTGGTAGTCAAAAAATGTAGCTTCTTTGTCCTAGGCTGCATGGTAATAGTCAAGCCAACCATTAATTGACTACTAGATTACACTCATATGACTTTTCGTTTTTACTGAGGGTGACCTGTTAGACAACAAAAGTTGGTGGGGCTCGCAACTTCCCTTCTTTTCTAATAGTGTTCTCGTGGGAGTGGTGGACAACAAACCTGGTTTAGCCACTACATGTAACATAGCGCTCTAACTCGCAGCATGAGGAAGGCTACCGCCGGAGAACCGGCCACGGGGTCAAGTTGGCATGCAGTCGTAGACTTATATTTTTGGTATCCCAAAATATCAGGTTTTTGGGGGGGCGTTAAACAATAAAAAGAACTGCATTGACCGGGAGTCGAACCCGGAGCTAGGCCATGACATTTGCACACTCTCAAGTGGGAAGACCCAATGTTACCGCTACACCATCAATGCATAGCATAGGTCCGATGGAATGTCAAATACACTTGTGCGAACAGGAAGAGTAGCCTCAAAATGTTTTCTCCCCCAGAGAGTTTGGGTCTATTCGCAATGCGATTATACTCTCCCCTTCATACAAACTAGCCCAGCTTGTAGCAGAAGTGTGAAACGGTGATATGGTACCCAACGGAGTCGATTGGGCTTTAAAATGCCCTGGCACCATAATCATCCATGAGCCCCGTTCTACAAGTGTTAAAAATGGTAAGCAAAAGCGAGTCGCACCACAGCTCTCATGCCGGTCGGTGTTGTTACCATACCATTCGTTCGTAAACCTTCGGAGTTGTAGCTCTTCCGCCCTTTTTGGTGGGGTGATTGAGTACTTTGGGCTCGGACAATCAAGATTCAACCAGCTACAATAAGATACCCATTTGGTAGGGGTGATCCCGGGTGAATTGAGTGAACAACCATTTCGCATCCTGTTGTGAAAAGATGTCGATCCGACCGGGAAGAAGCGGCCTGGCGGCCGTTCGTAACATCGGTAACATGCCGCACGACTTGGGATGGTGTTTTAGTGGAGGTTTGGGCCTGGTTGTATCTGCCGCCGTGTGTGGATAGAGTTTAGACTTGAATGACACCATTGCGTGACATTGGGTTTTCTACCGAACGGTCGCGGCTTGGACGAGCAGGAGGATACTATTGAATAGTTAATGGAATTGCTGCAACATACGTGCCTTACAGCCGAGGGCACATTGAACCGTGAAATGAATAACCCGGAGATAGGTTTTTACGACTCCAGCTAACCAGTTGATCAAAATTTCAAAGTTCCGGCGGTTGGAGTCCGGGGTGTGAACAAATTACGATTATAACTCAAAGTGAATTAGAAAGTTTGCAATGGACCTACCTAGCGTAACCAATCGAGTCTCGTTCCTTGAGTTTGCTGTGGTCACTGCCGGGATGCTGGGCCGCTGGCAGGTGGACTATAGGTGGGGACCGGTAACCGGTGGCCATGACCAATGCGGTGGCATTGGTTACGGTGACACAAGCATGCCAAAAATAGCCAGCATGGTGCCACACCCGCGACTCTTATGACCAGCGCTCACTGGTCATTACTCCCAATGGACCCGCGTTTCCGCCATCTTTAATTCTATAATTCTTTAAACGAAAACATGTCTGGAGAAATGTCCTCGTCATGGAGGTATCTAAACTCAGCATCCACGCGTCTTTCCTCGCTGAAGAGTTATGTGTCTGTAACCGATGGGAGGCGCTCGCGCCCAAACACCCCAACAACCCCAACAGGGACTGAAGGGAAGCATGGCTGGCGGGCTTGGGCTGGCGACAAAATCAAGACGAGGAAAGGCCACAACCGAGGCGAAGCACCAGACAGAGAAGCTGTGGAGTTGTTTCCGGGCTGGGCTGTTCGCAAACCCAGGGAGGTCGCGCATCGCGATTTGGGGGTTTCGGCAGGTGCGTATCATATCTTCTCTTGATACCGTTTAGCATTGATTTTTTGTGAAATTCTAGACGACATCGACATCGACATTTATGTTTCTGGTTATGCATCAAGCTGCCGTGCTCCAGAGTTCGCCAGTAGGTCACAACGGGCGTTTATTCGTTTAGCGAAAGGTACCTAATCGTCTCTTATATTGTTCATTAGTTAATTCTTCGTGTCCTAGGGTTTGCTTCTTTGCCCAAACTTGCGAGCGAGGCTATCGAAGCTGCCCCCGAATCGTTGCCACCCATAAAACTTTCACCTTCAACAGAGGAACTCCTGAAGAGCGTAAAACTCCCACCCCGACCGACTGAGATAACAGAAGCATCTGAAATCGAGGCCCTCGAACGCCAATTCCAGCGCGCAAACCCCGACATAGGCGATGACCCATCACCAGCATCCTCCCGATCCTCCCTTGATATGGAAAGCCCAGCATCATCGTCTTCACAGCCCTCCACCCAGAGACCGCAAACCCCGGTACGGCGCTGGGTTCAGACCTCCGGAAGCTTCACGCCAACCTCGAATCACGGCTTCGACCATTTTGGTCTTCTGCGCTTTCAGCGCGTAAAATCCGCCTATATGTATTCGCCTACCCGTACCAAGACGACTTGCCTCGAGATAACAGGAAAATTATGCAGACGAGTGTGCCTCTAGCAGCAATGGATGTATCTACTGCCATAGATGGCAGCTTCGATGCGCGTTTCAGGGTGTCATGGAAAACCTTTGCCGAACATTTGATGACCTCGGACGAACCCTCGCAAGGCGCACCACGAGAACAAGCCCTGGTTCTTTGCGCCACCATTCTACCACCTTCGACCCAACTCTCACCCACCCCTCCCACCTTCAGTTCCTCTCGTGAATCTAACCCGAGCAGCACCATCCGCGTCAATATCACAAACTGTCCTATACGTGTCATCTCTGACATCGACGATACTGTTAAACATTCGGGCGTACTCAGTGGCGCTCGTGCCGTATTTCACAATGTTTTCGTGAAGGAGTTGAGGGATATTATTATCCCAGGTATGGGTGAATGGTACACTAGCATGTGGGATAGAGGTGTGCGGTTCCATTATGTCGTGAGTGTTCTTGCCGCTTGGTTTGCTTTGGCGTCTGACGCCGGTGCAAGTCAAATGGGCCATTTGAATTGCTTCCAGTCATCAATGAATTTTTTGCTGTTTCAAAACTTCCGCCTGGTATGCTACGTCCACAATTTCGGTTTTCCATCTTCATCCCCCTTAGGTTCAATAAAGCTGAGATCATATGGCGGGAGATCCCTCTTCAACGGTCTCCTGTCGGCACCTGCGGCGCGGAAACGAGGTGGTGTTTTAGAAGTTCTCAATTCTCTCCCGGATTCTCGATTCTTCCTCATCGGGGATACGGGCGAGCAGGATCTTGAATTATATGCCGAGTGAGTTCATTTCGGCCGAAACCATTATCCCCATTGAATATGCGCCCCTTCGACAGAATTGCTATCGAGCGGCCAGACCAAATCCTCGCCGTCTTCGTGCGCGACACTGGCACGACCGAACCCATCCCCGATCCAACTGGGTGGAGCTCCATCGGGCCCTTGTGTCTGGAGCTTCGTCCTCGGGCTACGCCAATGGGATACCACCCCGCCCCAGCGGGCATTCTCCGACTTTCTATCAAGCAGTAGTCGAAGTTCGACACAGAGCTCCCAGCGCCCACCACTACCTCGCCTAAACACCAGCGGCTCCGGCTCCCTCACCGGGTCGCCCCTGTCCAGCGAGCCGGAGGGGTTAGCAAAGTCTGACCCAGTGCAAAGGAGCAACGGATTTGCGTCTAGGACTGCCTCCCTGATGTCTACGTCATCGGTAACCTCCGTGTCCTCTAAAATGACCGAGACAGAACGGAAACGAAACGAATTGCAGATGCGGGTGTATCGTGCGAGGACGTTGATGCCGGGGCATGTGCCGTTGAGGATTTTCAAAAAGGCTAGCGAGTGTGTTGAGGCGGATGAGATTTTGAGCAAGGCCTGTCCTTGAAGCTTGAAGGTTTGAGGTGTTGTACGTGTGTATCAGCTTTGATAATTATCGCACATTACCGTACTCTCTAATGTGAATTAATATTTGGCCTCAGGTGGACAAGGCTTATCTGGGAAACCCTCGGCAGAGTTTTCGTTTGTTTCCTGGGCTGATCACGAGTCTAGCCTTATCACCCGTTAACATGCTAACCGGAATATGCTATCAGTGATAGCAACCCGCTAAGTGCGTACCATCATCACAACGACGCTAAGATGTTTTCTCGGCAACCGGCACGCATGCCAGTGCTGCGAATCGAGGAGCCCAAGATGGGCGATTTTGCGCAGGCTATCGTCGGTTCTTGCACTAATACCATCTCTTCTGTTCGTCTGAGCCTAGCGTCCGCCCTCCTGGTGTGTCAAATACGTATCATCAAAGGGGCAAATCATGCTGGGACGGTCGCATAGACGAGCTACGCGCTTGTCCCAGCCGAATTCAAGCCTACCTCCCCAATTCGAGCCACGCTACGCTGTACCAACTCAAGAACGCCCCCGCCCCACCCAAGATCTACCACTGGAAGACCCGCCAGAGTAAATTGCCCTCGCTCACTCACTGCGGTAATGATCGCTGAAAGATCAACTTTCAGGTATACCGCAGCTCGAGTGCCGACGGTGCCAGTCAGCTACGCATTTGTCCCCGTTTCGCTCAACGCTATGATCCTCATTCCGCCTCCCGACGCCCCGGACACGCGTCCGGTATATCATATTTCCACAGGCCACAACTGTTTTATCCCGTCCTCCTATATCACGACGATCCGCCGCGGGGGACCGAGCTTGACGAGTTTATGGGGAATTTTGAGTGAGCCGCTCCATCATCCACACCTACATCATTGCCAGTCCTGATCTGCGATATCAGGATGGGAATATGCAGAGAGCCGGCCACCGTGTGTATGCGAGGCAAGGAATCCCAGATTAAGCAAAAGTTGAATAGAGATGCAGGGCGAAGTGATGTCCGATTCTCGTCCAGGGTGGGTTTATTGCGACGCTAACAAAGAAAATAACAGGGAATATGGACGTGGAGCCCTCAGAACGCGAAGCGTATGTTATTTTGGGACTTTAGTGTGTCACCAGCGGTGGTGCGTCCATCCATCATCTTCAAGTCGTATAACGAGCATGATAGTGGAATTATTCCTTATCCCATAGTGCAATACAAAGAACGACCGCAACCCCATCGCCGAATTCACTCCACGGCGAAGGGCAAGACAGCTCCGGCCGCCTTCCAACCACGCGCAGCTGGTAGTTCATCCCAAAGGACAAGCGCTCTTTGACGACATCCTCATGTCTGTGCTTATCATCGAGCGAAAGCGCTTGACACCGTCGTTTCCAGGGAACAGACGTCTGTTTAATTGACGTTTGTGGTTGAGGAATATATGTAATGCACGCCGTTGTATAATACAACCTTGAACTCACAATTTGAATACTACTACTATTGGCCATAGAACAAATATCGACTAGTACACACATTTGGGTAAAAATGTTTCAAAAGAA